AAAAAATCTAAAAAAAAAAAAAAAATAAAAAAATAATGGAAACAAACGTAAAGAAAAACAAGATCAATGTATAAGAAAAAAAAAAAAAAAAAACCAAATAAAAAAATATAAAAATAAAAGAAATATATAAAAAGATAGGAAGAACGAACACGCGAGATAAAACGATAAATAAAGTTTACGTTGTAAGGAAAGAAAAAAGAGAGAGAGAGAGAAAAATGATAAATGTGCGAGAAAAAAATCCCTAGTGAAAAAGAATAGTCCTAGTGTGACTTCGTATTATCAAGGATTCTAGTCTTTATTTTCAAAACGTACGCGATAGTAATTAAATTTTACTCCGACGATCGATAACATTGAGAAAAATCATTATTATTTCTATTTTTTATTATTATTATTAATATTATTGAATAATTGTTAATTATTATTATTATTACTACTGTATTATTATAACAATAATGATAGAAATATGATTAAAAATGATCGTCGAGGTTTTCGAAATTCATGCGTAAAAAAAAAAAAAAAAAGAAACATCACATGCGTAAAAGTGAAACTTATTCTTAATTTTTTAAATTAGTCAATATAAAAAAGGGTTCGTGTACACGTTGAAAAATATTATGATGCATGGCATCGGATATAAAAAATGACATTTGATTTTTGTTTTCTTTTCCATTCTCGTATTGATGCAAATTGCTTCTTATGCTAAAAAAAAAAAAAACTACATACATCTCAAAATGTAATCGTAATATTTAATAAATCGGTGCATCTACATATATATATATATATAAATATATATCGTAATATTTTTCAATGATTAATAAGGATTGTGTTTATATAGCGGGTGTACCAACCATACAAATTTTATTTTTTTTCGTTTGAAAAATTCAGCTCGTACGATTTCCCAATTATACGAAAGTAACATTTTTCGGAATATTTAAATTTGGATTGCAAAAAAATAAAAAAAAAAATTGACACTCGTAATTATCGTATTATTAAATCTATTATACCGTTATACATTTATATTTCGAATATATTTTCACGATTACAACATTATACCGCGCAGTTTTAATTTTTTGTGTTTAATTATTTTCTACATCGGTATTTTAAATGAGAATAATGTCACGTTTAATGCAATCAATGATTATAGAAAACTTCGACGTTCGTAAATAAATAAACGCTGTTCTGCTTCACTGTAAGGTCAAGTCCACACCAAAAAATGCAACCAGCGAATTTTTCTCGCAAGTGTTCAAAGCATTATTTACGCAAACAAAAAGTGTTTCCATAAAGCTCGAATGTAATTGAAAAAAAAAAAAAAAAAAAAAAAAAAAAAAAAAAAAAAAAAAAAAAAATTAAAATATATAATAAAAAAAAAATACTTATAGCGCAAAAAAAAAATATATATAACAAAAACGAGAAGAGAAGAAGAATAAAATTGAAAAGCTTAATACGAGACAGATGAAAA